GATAGAATTTTTTGAAAATTTGTGATTTTTTTTTTTAATCCATGATCGAATTTTTTTTGTAATCCATGATAGAATTTTTTGAAAATTTGTGATTTTTTTTTTTAATCCATGATCGATTTTTTAAAAATTTGTTAATTTTTTTTTAATCCATATTATTCAAAGAGAAAATGAGAGAGATGATGATTCTGAGGCCACCCTATCCCAACCATATTATTCACATATCGAGTAACCATATTATTCACATATCGAGTCCCAACAGCAACAGTGTAGGGATGAGCACGACGGTGCAGGTGAGCATGAAGGATGGACAAGCTTCGGGGATTTTGGATTGGGAACACAACAAAACACTAACACTCAGGGATTTGGGAATAGTCAGATGCCTGCTAATATCGATGATTCGTTTTTAGATCGAATCAATGAATTGTTAAATGAATTCAATCAATGGCACCATCGTGACCAAGAAGAACAATAACGTCGTCTATCATTTTATTTTTAGATCATATGTTACTAATTGTATGCTTTATTGTAGTCCATATATGTTGATATACTTATTCCAAGATAATTCTATGTTTATCCTTTTGTGTGATGTAAATTAAATGCTGAATGGCGGTTCATGCAGGGAAAGAACATATCAATATTCGCATATTCATTCAAAAACATGAAAATTCTTAATGGAGTACCCTCATTTCTTATTGAATTCTTAAAAAACAATATTTATAATGAATTTTAATAAATTTTTCAGATTTTTTTTAAGCTTTATTCTGGCCGATTCACCCGATTCCCGATCCGGATCGCCGATTCGCCGATCCGGATCGATTTTTTGGGTGCCTGATCTGCGTCATTGATCCGTTTTTTAAACCATTGAATCAAAGTATAGGATCCTTCAAATAATGTCGAAAGAAATAGGTTTAGTAATGAAAATATTTATGATGCCATGAAATTTTAATTTATCTCTAATTAGAAAGTGTAATGCTTGAAAAATAATGTAGATGAAGGAGATCTATGAACATCTTGAAAAGTGGTGGTCCAGAAAATGTAATACAAGATGCACTATTATCAAAACATGAAATTTATTTTTTCTCATCTCCATACATTTTGAGGACGAGATGATCGATTTGAACATGTTTGGGCAACCAAATAACCTATTGTGTGAATTTTTTGGTACGCTTTAATTTGATCGTTTAGGGCCCCACCTTTATAAAAAAAATTTCCATAACATGAATGACACATACTTATGAGTCCTAGCATTCATATGTAGATATGCGGCCTTTCTCCATTATCCATTTTTTAGATGGATCTCGAACTTATTTTTGGGTATATAATTTGAAATCATTAATACATAAAAATAATTAATTTTTAAAAATATATTGATAATTAGGAAATTATAAAAAATATATATCTACCTTAATTTTTTGATTATAGGAATGAAACTCCAAACTTTCTAAAACCTCATCTACACTTTTTTTCTGCACTGTTTATATTTTTTTAACTAAAAATAACCTTCACGATAGTCATAGAATCATGAATAAATCATGGCAGACTTACTATCGTGATGGGTTGTCTAATGTTTTGAGGCACCACGGCCTTTAAACAATCGTGATAGTCGTTAAGAGGCATCACAACACTTAAAAAGTCGTGATGGTCGTTAAGGCATCAAGGAATTTGAAAAAGTTGTGTCACTTAGGAAAGAGTATAACGGTTAAATTAGAATCGTGATAGTCTAATAAACCATCACAATTCTTTAAGTATCAGAATGCTTCAAAACTACATTTGACTTACAGCCTGCCATGACCATCACGGTTTTCAATAGATCGTGATGCCTTCACAATTTTAAGACTACCAATGAAAGCTATATTCGTCTACTCACCTAAAAAAAAGGATATAAATGAGGCTTTAGAAATTTTGAGATTTATTTTCTATCATCTAAAAATTAAAGTATATTTGTTATAATTTATCTTGAAAAATTTTTGAGTAAAATTTTAGACCATTGATAAAAAGTTTTATGGAGGGACCACTACTTTATATCTCCCCTGACTAATAAAACACTTTTCCATATATAAATACTGGATGGAGAGATCATGTTGTTTGATAATTTGTCGATAGAACTTAAATACTATGAATCTTTTGTTTGGAGCATCTGTTTGTAAAATTTAGATCTGACAAGCTCAAGTTGAAACGAAGTAACAATTTATTAATCAAATAATGATATTTGCTTAATAAAGACAACATTTTTATGGACATTTATCAAAATACCCATAAGAAATGAGCTACTCAACATTTTGACATTTGTAACTAATCCAACTCAAGACCATGTGTTTTTTTATTGATATTTTGAAATTAAATCAAAATATATAGTTAAAATGCTACGGTGACTTTTAGTCTAACGAAACGTCTAGCCCCCGGTAGAGAATAATAGATTGGGATAAGACTTGGATGATGATGATGGTGACGATATACGTAAAATGCTAAATTGTTTCTCTTATTTAATAAATATCCCGTTTCTTTAAAATTTTCCATTTGTAATATGAATACAAAATGGACGATCAAAACCATAGATTTCCAAATCATCTATTAATGAATTATGTGACTATTTACTTTTGATACAAGGAGGTCACAATTATTATTAAACATTGGATGAAAAATGTGATGAATTAAAATGTGTCACAAGACTCACAACATTCGTAAAAATTGTATTTTAAACTTTGAGCCCAGTGAATGACACACACCCACCATCCAATTCCACTTTTAACGCTCAATAATGACTGTTAATCTCCTTGTCCCAAAAGTAAAAGGTTTTATTGTATACCTTTATTTTATTAATTGTTAAGCTCTTTCTCCCTCCCTCTTATATCAAAAGATGTTAAATAAATAGGGATTATAAACCATGAGACCACTTATTTTTATACAAAGAGGTCATAATCACTTTTAGCCATTGTATGTGAAATCCAATAAATGAAAGTATGTCACAATAACACATTTTCAACCACCTGATTTCAAATTGAACAGTTGATGATATTTGTAATCTCCTTATATCAAAAGTAAATGGTCTTATTTTATATATATATATATATATATATATATCTGGGTCCATGTGATCCCGTCTCAATTCGGAACTGAATAGTGTTATTACTTAAAGAATATTTAGTATATAATATTTAAACAAATATACTTATATATTATAATTATAATATTTGAATAATAAATGTATATATTTATAGTTATATAAATATATATATATATCATATGGACCATGCAGTCTATGAAGTCGCATTCGCTCTTACCACTATAACACATGATATTTAAGTGTGTCTAAGCAGGCGATAAGGTTCTCTGAAAATGAACCTGTTCCACCTGTACATGTATTCCTTTGATAATCACAAATAGTTACAGTTTCAGTTGTTATAGAAGAATGAAGAAATTTAATAAATTGCAAATCTTCATATGATTCAAAACAGTCCCTAACCATGATTCATGGCACTGAGGAGTGTATTAAGGTCTTCTAATGAGAACCTTACCATCACTCGTGGACTTCTGTGAGCCCCTGGTACCCATGTGAGAACCATAAAGAGCTTCAAGGTGTCTGAATGACTGCTATAATGGCATCTTAAGCACATATACGAACGCTACGAGCTGCATTATGTGTTCTGCAGTCGAAACAATGTAAGCAAGGGAAGAAAGAATCTTGGCTTACTGGTTCTCAGTTCTCACTGCTATATGACTGCAAACTTTTGAGTTAGAACTGCAAACTAACCTTTAGGAAAGGCAGGAGTGAGTGAAAGAGGAGGTTTTTCACTTTTTCTTCACCAATAATCCCCACAAGAACAAACACCATCTCTCATATGGTGGAACCTCACTGCATCCCTCAAAACAATCGCCCTCTCGGTGAGCTTCGACACCAACTTTGCGGCAACGTGGCAATCTTCGCATGTTCGCAAGTTCTTCATGATCCTAATTGGCGTCCCAGGCTTGGTCCTTATCAACCCATAAGCGATGGCCAGCTTCTCACTGTGAGCCCTTAACACTCTCTCCTTTTCGTCGTCGTCGATATCTTGTAAAACAGCATTCACATCAGGAACATAGCCCAATTTTCTCAACTGATCAAACAATTGCTCCAGTTTCTTATATATCTCATCGGATTCCAGGTGGGTTACATCTCCGGAGAGGAAGATATGGACCTTATCATCCAACTCTATAGAGCTCCAACCAGGTGGCTTTCTAAGCCCCCTTGCTCTCATCAATTCTCGAACTTTCTCTACCTCGCCCCACAAGCCCACAGATGCATAAATGTTCGAGAGAAGCACATAAAATCCTGGATCATCGCACCCAGCGTCAAATAGCCTCTTAGTCACAAATTGAGCCAATTCCACATCTTTGTGAATCCTACAAGCACCCAACAGGGCTCCCCATACACCATGAGATGGTTCGATGGGCATTTCTTGGACCACATGCAAGGCCTCCGATAAGAGCCCTGCCCGACCCAGGAGGTCCACCAAGCAAGCATAATGTTGGGCTCTAGGAGCAACTCCATAGTCCGGACCCATGCTCTCGAAAAGCCTTCGACCTTCATTTACCAATCGTGCATGGCTACAAGCTGATAAGACCCCAATAAACGTAACATAATTCGGATTCACCCCATGTGCTTGCATTTCCGAAAAAAGCTCCAAGGCCTCTTCGCCGAGCCCATGAGCACCGTATCCAGCAATTATCGAGCTCCAAGCAACCACACTCCTTTGAGGCATTACATCGAACAAATGACGTGAAGTCTCCAGTTCCCCACATTTCACATACGTATCCATAAGAGCAGTGATCACATACTCATCCAGCTCAAATCCACGTCGAACAATGTATGCGTGCGCCGATTTCACCAGTAGTCTCAAGCCCACTCGAGCAATAGCCGGCAAAACCGCAACGAGGCTTAGCTTGTTAGGCGAACGTATCTCCTGAAACAAGCGCAACGCCTCGAGAGATAACCCATTCTGAGCATAACATGAAACCACACTATTAAACGCGGCGTGATCCTTAACTTCGATTTCATCAAATGCATGGCGAGCAGAGTGAGGGTCAGAACAAGCAGCGTACAATTCAATTAGGGAGGTTAAAGCAGCAGGAGAGAGACACCCACTACGCAAGGCTCGGGCGTGGGTCTGCGCTCCGGCGCTCCCATTACAGAGCTGAGCACAGGCTGCAATCGTGCACGCAACCGCCACACTATCTACCCGCACGCCATCGGCGATCATTCTACAAAATAGCGATAGGGCCTCGAGGGGTCTACCCGTCTGCGTCAATCCACTAAGCATTGCATTCCAAACCACGTGATCGCATTTTGGTGCGGCATCAAAAGCCTTCTGTGCCTCTCGGACAAGGCCGTGCTTCGCATACAAGTCGATGATGGCGACGCACACGAAGGAGTTCGGGTGGATGCCGCACTTGAAATAAAGCGCATGGAGCGGTGGCCCAAAGGGAAGGAATTTCGGGCTCGACGAGCAGGCTTTGAGGAGAGGGGGAAGGGAGAAGGGGTTGGGGAGGTGGCTGTCACTGAGCATGAGAGAGAAAGCCGCCAAGGCTTCGGCAAATTGACCTAGAGAGAGATGGGCCTGGATGAGAGCATTGTAGTAAAATGCGTCCTTTTCTAGGGTTTTGGGGTGGTGGAGGGAGGCTTGGAGGGCGGAGGGAGGGTCTCCAAGGGCAGTGTAGGAAGAGATTAGTTTGGTGGCAAGGTTGAGGTTGAAGGAGAGAGAGGGGGATTTGAGGAGTTGGGCATGGGCTTGGCGTAGGTGGTCTAGGGTTTTACAAGAGTGCAAAGGATTAGGACTTAGGGTTAGGGTTTTGGTGGGGTGCAATGGGTTGGGGAGCAGGGCCTCCATGGGCAGCTGCAACATGGAGGAAGAGGAGCTGTTAATGGCGATCGGTTTTACAGGTTTCGATCGGTCTTTGATCTTTTAGATGGCCATTGGGGAGGGCTATTTTGGTCAATTGGGATGTAAATGCATTTTAGTTATTTATAGGAATGATTTAAAAAATGGTGGGTCGGTACGGAATCGTTCGATATTGGAATCAGTCACCCTACGTTAATTCTCTCAAAATATAAGAAATCCGTCTACGTCTAGTAGAGAATCGACGATTTACTATAATAAAAATATCATTTTATAAAATACCATTTTTCTATGGTAAAAAAGTCGATCCATCGATCTGAACTAGTTTTTGGCTGGTCCACTGTTTTTATACGTATTTTTTCCGCACAATAAAACGATGATTCGAACCGCCGATTTACCGATCTAAGTCATCGATCTGTTTTTTAAATCAATGATCTATAATATAGAACGATGCTATTTTTGAAGGTCAGTGACAATGTTTCAAAACCTAGATTGGTCAGGTGAGAGTAAACTATCCGAAAAATTAAGAGAATCAATGGAAAAAAAAAAGAATTATCGAAAAAAGAAAAGAAAAAGCAAAACTCTTTTAATGGTTTTGACCGGGACTAGAACAATCACCAATCCGGATTGCCAATTTTTAAACAATAATAAGTGGTTCTAAAAGATCCGGTAAAGCTGCTCCTTGTAACCTACCAAAAAATTGCAATGCGACAGTAATAAAACCTTTGAAAATCTATTTTTCATTTTATAATGTGATTTGAAGCTCCAAAAGTGACAAATCTGATGTATTTCAGAAAACCCAAATAAATTGTCAAGAAAATGTATAAAAAATAGTCAATTTTAGGGCTTTTAAGAATTTAATTTTTAAATCTATGATTGACTAGATAAAGATAATTAATGACGACACTCAAACTATACTATTTTTTTTTTTTTTATGAGATTTTGAGGTACATCTTTATAAACCACGGCCCTAGATAATGCTTTCCCTCCATAGCTAATGGATTTACAAGGGCAAATTTTAATTTTCAAAATGTTGGGGATATAAGAATAACGTCAACAAAAAAATTTCCTAATCTAATCATTTGAAAAAATAAATAATCTCGAAATTGAACATAAATTATCTAAGTAGAAGGTGAAATTTAAGTGCTAGAAAACTCAAATCTCAAAAAAAAAAGAAAAAAAAAAGAAAAGACGAGAGAACAATAATCTGGCGACTATAAGGTGGTTAGCCAAATTTTAAATTGAAAAAATCCTCCCAAATAGATAATCTGACCGAAGAAGTAGAAGTAAACTATGCTCCGCAGGAAAGCATAGTATATGTGAAAAATAAAGAAGAGCTTGCCTCGATATTTTTGAAAAAGCAGTATTAATTTTTTTATTTCTATTGGCAAAAAAGAAATTTGGGTTTTGCCAACATGTTATCGAGAGAAACAGCAACGTTTGGACGAAGAACAACATGGAAGCTCAAACAAATCATAACTCCCTCATCTGCCCAAATTACATGTCCCTACTCTCTAGCCCTCCGGCTCAATCCAATTACTCTCTCTATCTTTCTCTATCTCTGATGCAAAACCCCGACTGAAAAAAAAAAGATCTGAGACTGATTTAGCAGTAACTTGTCACACTCATCGATTGGACTACTTCCAAACATGTCTTTATTTCAAATTCAAAAAAATGAACTTCAGTCCTGCCAGCCCCTCAATTTGATTTGCTCTCTCTCAAGAGAATATATACACCCCATACACAAGTCTCACGGTTTTGGGTGGCAAATTCATCAGCAAAAACAAGAGAACAAGAAAAGTGATCCTCTAACAAATCGTGTTATACCATCAAAGATGCTCTTTACACACAGGAAAGAACCAACAGTATTAGAACTCCAAGAGGCTTCCTGCACTGAATTTCCATCTACACTACACTATTAAACTCATGCTTTAATTCAGAGTTCATATGGGATCCAGTGCATTAGTACGGGTATTGCCGCACCCTAATTTACTTCCACTTTCAGTGTACATAAATTCCCCTGCGCTTCTCCGTTTGCTGTACACTATGCCAACAATGCATAATGACTAATGGAATAAGAGGCCAATCCAAAATCAATACAGATAATCGCAGGCAAATAATTTTTTCAAGAAATTTGATGAGCACAATAAGAACAAGATGATGAAGAAATCCGATGCGAATTCCATCTAATGTTCACCCATTCTAAATGAAGTTTCTAGTTCCAATAATTGAAGCCATGTCAGTAATAGTAGCAACAATAAGAGCAAAAATATCGGGCACTTTCTGGTGACAAGTGCAACAGCAACAATGATAATAGTACGTTAAGAATCATGATATAGAGCTCTCTGTAAATGTAAGATGGGTCAGAAATCAAACTTACTCAGGAACGGTAATGATTACATAGCAAAACTGGGCTCTGGCTCAGTTGCTCTCCATTTTTTTTGTCTGCAGAGGAAATCTGTAAATAGAGGAACATTGGGAAAAAACGCGAAATAGAAAAAGGGGAAGCAGAACCTCCCTAATCAATAACAGACTGCTTTTGAAGATCGACATGGAAGAACACTAAGGAATAACGCCCAGATGGACACAAACGTCAAAAGTTTACATTCCAAAGAAAAAGAAAATCCACATCAACTATGAGAATCCATCTAAACTAAAAATACTGGGTCACAGACTCATTTGACACAAAAACCTTTGAAAGAGCAATGTAAATTTCAGCCACTTGCCTGTTGACATCAATCACATGGAAAATTCACATATGGCCTGTCAGAAGCTACCAGTTGATTTCAGGATTGATGGTGATTTGGAGAGAATGCTTCAGGCCCATGGTTAAAACAGTTTCAGAGAAAGTTAGCATGGTGGATAGCCCGTTACCTGTTTCTGCCACAGGAGGATTTCCTTAATGAAATATGCCTTGCCTAATATTTGAATTAGACATTGTGCAGGAATTTGTTGCAATCTAAACGTGCAGGGTGGTGAGTCTATTCCCAGGGAAGACAAAGAAATGGGTTACAGCATCCATGCAAATGTTTATACCCAACCAGATTAAACTCGTGTACAGAAGCTATAAACATAATTATGGCAGAAAGGAAAGCATTGTTCCATACTTTCAAGTAAACAAAAGAGAAACCAATTGTGAATAAAAAGCGTTGCAAACTCTCTTTAAGTGTTTTTTTGTGTGCGTGTTTTTTTTTTGTGGGTTGGTTTTTAGGAGGAGGCAGGGGGTTAAAAGTTGTTGAGGGTAGGAGGATGGGAGAGAGGTTCAGTGGGATATTTTCACCAGGAACAATTGAAGCAAGGCATATTATGGTAAAGGAAAAGAAACATAAGCAAAATTTTCTAAAAGAAAGTTTCTTTTGGAGGGGAAAGACCGATTTCAAGCACCACCACGAAAATTTTATAAAAGGAGAAATCATGCAAAGAAGTTTACCATACAGAAAACAAGGTATCTAAGTCATTTGTACATGCGCCCAAGGCATCTATTCCATTTGGAAAAAATGTGTTGGGTCGGTTAATCATTTATGGTCTAAAACAAGGCAAGTTTCCATCACTAATCCCAAAACCATGACAATTATGGGATTTTCATCATTGGCAGAAAACTACCATGCACTTTCACTTGACAATTAACAAGAGATACGTTCATACATTGAAGATCAGCCATATGATACAGAAAATAAGGGTATCAAACGTAGACAGCTTCAACCAACCAAGAGAAAAACACAAACAAAAGGATACATCAAATACTTGGAGATATTGTTATTACATGAGCAGGAATACCTAAAAAAGTAAAAAGGGGAGCCAATGGCCTTCATGTTCAATGGCACGTACAGGAAAATGTAGATCCTACACCATATTTAGCTTTCATCTAAACAAACATCATCAACTCTGGCCTACTGAATATATTACTCCCCTCATCCTCTAACACAGGATAAGCAGCCACAAGCCCATCTTGAGCACCAATGTACAAAGAGTTATAAATTTTCCAATAAACCTCCCTAACTTTTCTAGCTGGATGAAACAACCCTTGAAGACAGTAGTTTAGAACAGCAGCAGGACCCAGAGCAACTCTCATCCCTTCAATTGCTTCCATGACTGCATTAATCACATGGGGGGAGGTCTCGAATATATTTGGCCACACATAATTTAGCAGGTGAACCAAAGCATCCTCACAACCCAACCCTGCAACACCCAAAGCCATGTGCTTCACAGCAGAGGCAGCAGTCTGCCGATGAACCAGGTCCCTATCCATTAAAGCATCCTCGAGCAATGGAGTCACTGCATATATATAATCCTTTCCCATCTCCCCAATATACTCAAACAAGAAAGAGAGAGATTTGAGAACCCCATTTTGTACATTAAGCTCGGGAACTCTATACTCATTCATAAGAGCAGGCAAGACCGTGAACGGGGAACAGGTCTCAGCAACAATGGCAATCGCCACAGTGGTGCAAACACGATTTTGCCTCTCCTGAACCTTTAGGTTGTTCAGTAGGGTGGCCAAGACATCTTGTGGCCCTATGGCCTTAGCAATATACCCAAAGGTGTTAACAGTAGCCCTTCGGATTCCCTTCTTGTGGGCCTTGAGCATCTCGAGAAGCTCAAAACAAATTCTCATCCACTCTCTTGCAGGCACAAACTCTGCCCCACGATCAGCAATCCTACCAACAAGGTCAATGCAGTTCTCTTGCACCTTCTCATGTCGATTCTTCAATATGGGAGTCAATCGGGGAAGCAAATCCTTGATGGGTGGAGTCATTTTCGTCATTCCAATAACATTCACGATAGCCTTTAATGCCCCTAGTATAGAACCCAAGACTTCAGGGTATTCTTCTCCAAGATACTCATAAAGCACCACACCCAAGTGACCCATTAGTTGTTCTTCTTGGCATTGCTTCATAACCACCGCAATCCTAGAGATGAGATCAGCAGCTTGCTGCCTCACTTTTGCACTCTTATTATTCAAACGCCATTTAATGGTACCACAAATTTGGGGCAGGTAGGGCTTCACCCTCTGTCCTAGGGCATTGACCACTGCTCCAAACCCATTGAGCATAACATTGGCATCATCGCTTGTTTGCTCTTGGAAAGCATATAAGATTCCATCAATTAAGTTCTCCTCCAAGCGAGGGTTTATATCGGAAGCCCCCAAGTTAGCAACAACTTTCTCGATTGTCTCCATAACCATACGCCTGTATGGCTCACTTTCATCCTTGAGGTCCTCAACGATCCTTCCAACAATATCAGCCACACCAACCTTGTTAGCGATCTCTACAGTAGTATCGACCAACTGTCTATAATTGCGACGATCCAAGGCCATCCTCCTGACCCAAAAGTTTCTGAAGAATTCGGGCAAAATCTCAGTCCTGATATAATCAGCCTCCACCCCCTCAGTGCTCACACACTGCTTAACAACCTTCAAAACAATCTTCTTCATCTCCTCATCGGGAGACTGGAACTCTCGAATCAATATGACCATAACTTCCTTTGTATAGTAGCTGGCATACATCGCATCCATGAGAGGGATGATAAAACCAATGGCCTTCAAGAAAGCAGCAAGGACCTTGCCCCTGTGGGACCTTATACCTTTCCACAAAGGCTTCAAAACTGAATCGAAACTCTCAATACCATAAGGAGCAGCAGCTTCGGCAAGGGCAGCAAGTGATAAAGCAGTAATGGTTCGCACCTTTTGGTTCTCATCATTCAACCCATGCTCTATGATCTCCACTAAAGACCTCAGATGGGGAAGAACTGCACAACCCATGAGAATGGCAATTTGCTGCACGATCTTAATACCAGTGTGCCTAGCTTGCCATGATTTCTTACTCTGACAGACTGCCTTCAAAAAGGGCAATAGAGCAGGAATCCCAAGTGCAGAAGCCACGACACTGAAGGCCCTTGCTGTTGTATTCCTAACATACTCATCTATGTTATCAATATCAGGCCTCATAGCTGCAATCATGGTAGCCAAACCAGCAGCCTTGCTAAGATTCGAGATGATCTCTCTTCCCTCAACTCTGGCATAGTAGTCCTCATCAATAAGGAGTGGCTCAATAACCACCAGTATCTTGTGCACAAAAGGCCTGACTAGTTCATCAAGCTTGTAAAGCACTCTATCAATGACCTTAACCAAAAGATGCCTCTCCTGGTCCTCGAGAGTAGGAGACATGAGCAACGGCAAAATCCTGTTAAAAAGTGGACCTGCCCCAAATTCTCGAGCCTTGTCAGTGAGCTGCCTTAGTGCTGTTTTCCTTTGTGGAGGAGTACCATTCTTCACCTTCAGCAAGAGTTTCATGATCTTCCTCTCCTTTTGCTCATCTGGTGACAATTCCTCTTCATCTTCCTCATTCAACAAAGCCCCAAAGTATTGATAATCCTCAGGTTTCATAAATGGCAGCCCACCAGGAGCCTCCTTGGGTACATCAAACTGCTGCCCCCTATTCTCTTCAGGAATTGAATACAAAGGTGTACCCATAGGGGTTGGGGTGGTAAGGAGCTTCCTTGCTGGTGTCCTTATAGGTACATATGAAGCCGGTGGCTCCAAAATCTTATAACCCTCCTGAGGAAACATCGCATCCAACTCCTCATCACTCAGAGGCCTATTTCTGTCTTCTATGTCCTTCTCCCACCTCAACAAATTATACTGTTCAGGTGTCATTGCCCCTCTTATATTAATAGCACCGGGTGTCGGAGTAGCGAGATCAACCCCACCAACTGGAGTAATGCCTGGCGTAAAGGCAGTTGGGGTAGCACCAGGAAGAGGAGTAGAAGAACCCATTGTTGCAGGGGTCTCATCCCATCGAGATCGTTGCCTTTTGGGTGTTGGAGTAGCCACACCCGAAAGCTTTGGAGTTGCATCCCAAGCCATGCCTGCTGGTGTAGCACCAGGCGTTACACCACCAACTGGTGTAGCATCGGAATCAGCCAACCTTCCTGGTGTTGGTGTCTCATCCCATCTATTTCTCCTTGACCCAGTAGCTGGAGTTACAGCTTCAGCTCGACCCGGAGTTGGAGTAGCATCCCAACGACTTATCCCCGGTGTAGCATCAGGAGCATCCCAATCTGAAACTTTGGGTTTTTTCACACTTTCTTGAGCCTCTTGAGATTGGTCCCATCGATTTCTTCGTTTTTGAGCACCCGCAACTTGAGAAACACCATCGCTAGCCTTCTCCCTCTCCTCTTCTTCTTGCTTCTTCGCAAGGCGCATTTTCTCCTCCCTTTCCTTCTCTTTCTCTCTCTTAATGGACTCCTCTTTCATGACATCAGCGAAGGTCCTCACCGATGCATCAGGGGTCTTGTCTCCCATCGCAAAGGCATCATTTCGATCAGGCGAGATGATTCGATTAAGCCTTCTCCTTCTATAATCATCTTCTCGATCAATGATTCTTTGGGGTTTTTTGAAACCCACGTCATCTTCTTCACCCCCTTTGGGCACCTCATTTAAGACAGATTTTGGGGCAGTGTATGAAGCAAGTTTGCGGGCAACTGCACGCTCGCCTACATCTTGATTTTCTTCCTCATCTTCATTGACAGGAATTGAGAGCTCATAGCCCTCAAATTTGTTGCCCCCACCATAGAGATCGGCATCAAATGTCACAGTTGTTAGGGAAGCGAGCTCCTTCTCCTTCTTCCTCCTCTCTTCTTGAATCCTGGCTATGTCATCTTCTAACGCCGCCATGTTGTCTTATCCCCCTTTGCTGCAAAAGCATTGAGGAATGAGAATTTTAATAAAGCCAGATTCAAGAAAAAAAGCACTATAATAGCCTAAACCCTAGCAATGCACCATTTTGAGGCACCTCCAATGAGAAATACAAACCTTAAGTACGCAAAGCCCTAATCATCCACCACTTTCAGCAAACCCAATGGGAACTGCAAAACCTAACGCCCTGGAAACCCCATAAATACTCCCTTTGCCATGAATCGGGTTAGAAATATGAAACCCAATCTCCCTAAACCCAATTTCATTTCTCTGCAACTCCAGTGAGGAACTCCATTGATAAATATAAACCCCAAATCCTCCAAAACCCTAGATATCACGCCCAGTCCAATCTGATAAAATCCAAAACCCAAATATCCAGTATACCGCAAAATTAATTACCAATCTTAACCTTCAAAAAATCCCAATCCTTATCATCCAAAACCTACACTTTTCTCACCCATAAACCCAATCACAAACACAAACACAAAAATCTCAAACCCTAACACTACAACCTCAGTTTTCGACACAAAAAAAATGAAACCACAAACTCCCCCACTGCTATTCCCAAAAATAACTACGCTCTCAACACCCTCAAAGCAATCGCAAACATAAAACCTCAACAAAAATATGCTCAAACGTGACAATATCTGGAATCAAAATCTTGATTAATGAATAGAGTAGGGAATCAAAACCCTAAAATTGAAGCGCTGAAGAAAAAAAAAAAAACCTAGCCTTCGTACCTGATTGTAAGCCAAGAAGCAGCGGCAATAATGAAATTCACAGTTTTTCTTGCTTTTATATATAGCGGAAGAAACTAAATCAATACCCCAATCTTTGGCTTTAATGGCCAAAATATCTTAGATTAAATTACTAAAATACCCCCGGATTCCTTTCAAAGGCCTCTCAAATGGCACTAGGCCTCTAGGGAACGCGAGGTGAGGCGGTGTTTATTAAGGAGGATATTACTGCAGTAATGTAGAATATGTTCCCATCCCATACATGACCTTATCACTGTCTATAAATTCTTCGGACGGTCATGACACCTACTATAATCGTAATTTAAGAATAACTTGTTACAAGATGTACTATCTTTCGAAATTGAAATTTCTTTTTTTTTCTTCGTATCCATTCATCTTCATGGCAAGATAATCACTTGGAGGGTTCTCCAACACCGAAAGACTATATAAAGTTTTTTAATGCATTAAAGTTTTTTAATGCATTAGGAAAAGGAGACTGTTTTTAGCTCAATTATAGAATTGTAACAATGATTATTAGGCCTTGGATGTAAGATGGGAGGCTTGATAGTTTGTTATTGCCTGAACTTGAAATTTAAAATTTTATTTTGAATTTTGTAGCACTTCGCTACTACTAAATTTTATATTTGATAGTTTAAAGTGATTGTAACTTTCTTATAACAAAATTGTTGTTCTTGTTCAGGCTTTTCTGTACATGATACTCCTTAAGATCTCTTAAATCTCTTATTTAAAAATTTGAAAACTACAGTAAGTAGGGGTACTTTAGTAATTAGGCTTATTTATGCATGTAGGGGTACTTTAGTAATTGGGCTTATTTATGCATGTAAGGTGCGCACCTTATACTATATAGAAGTAAGATGCAACTCTAAATATTGTCCGTAGTTCTTGTATTCGAAACCTAACGATTGTTTGAAAATCCATATTCAACTTTTAATGATGAACGATTGCTTAAAAATCCATATTCAACTTTTAATTACGAAATTTGAAATTTTAAAATGGTGCAGATCAAACAAATACATAAACACTTGAGAATCTTGAAAGTAGATGGTCCAGATAATACTTTACAAGATGCATTATTTTTAAGACTTGAAATTTATTTTTTTATTTATATCCATACATCTAGAGGTCAAGATGATCAATTAAAAAGTTTTTCAACTTTAGAACACTCTTTTCTACTAGATTTTTTATATGCACATTACTTTGACAGTATAAAGTCGCAACCTTATATAAACTTTTTTCTTATGAAAATATCACTGCTTAATCAAAAAGAATTATTGTAAGTATTTTTAATAAAGGACCCAGTTTCTATGTGCCCAAACCCGTATGTGTAGAAATACGGGCCTATTAATAAATCTATTTTTGAGATAGATTTTTGCACTTACTTTTTAAAAACATGTAATCTCTAACATAGAGATCATAAATATGAAAAAAAAAGAGTTAATTTAAAAAATTAAAAATAATAATTCTAACAAAAAAATATTTGGACCGTTAGTTTTTATTGTTTTTAAATATAATACCTACTTGCATCCATATGTAAGATGGATGCTTTATACGTTTTGGATTGCATATATAGTCATGCGGTCCTGCCTGTCTTAAATAATTTTCCTTTAATAAAATAGTTGGGAAGTAATTTGACCATTTTTAACGGTATATTGCCCTTTAAAAAACTCTGGTTATTTTTGCATGGTATGCTGTAAATCCTCCAAAGAACATAAACGAATTTATCCTTCTTTTAATTTATATATATATATATATATAAAGTGTCAACTTTATAGTGTACAAGTAAAGTATACCTCAAAACTCATCAGAAAAGGTTATTTCGTCATTAAAAAACCCTCCAGTAGATCATATCCACTTTGATATGTATAAATACAAAAGAAATTTTGTATTTCAAGTATTAATAGTTGTATATCTTTATTTAAATTGTCCATAATCAATATATTTAAGTATTCATAGTTATGATAGATCTTCAATGTTTTTTGAGCTTTCAATTTTATAGTAGGGATGAAAAATATATTTTAAGATGGTTATAAGAGTTTCGACACCTAAAATACATCTTACAACGAGATCTTACAACGAGATTTTGAAGTGCACCTTACCACGATGGTTTAAGGTTTACACCTCATACAAACCTCACCAAATAATAAAGACCAACTAGTGCTAATAAATCGTTGCAAAACATAGCAACGGCATAAGGGACCTTAATGTTTTTGGTATTTAAAAAATATAATTATTTTTTTATTTTCATTTTACACTCATATATATTTTTTATTATTATTATTTTTTAAGATACCCCCAGTTTGGAACTCCAAATTTTGAACCAATGTAAGCTCTAAATTTCATAGTTACGGTCAAAATTATATTTTAGGAATTTGTGAGGGCTTTTGGTTTTGAAATTTCTTCTTTTAATGAGATTTAGAGGTACGCCTTATTTTGATTGTCTAAGGTTATAGAAAACCTGATCCTTCTTGAAACTATACGGTTTCAAGAACTTGAAGTTCTAAACCACTTATTCACTTAAACATTAGACAAGTATCCCTAGTTCCAAATGAGGATGTGTAAAAATAAGACACTCATTCAGAACTTCAAGTTTCGAACTCATTATTCACTCATGAAATATGTATACTTGATCAGGAACTTCAAGCTGAAAAATGGAAACACTACCTTTTTTTTCAGTGAATAAGTTGTTCAAGATTTAAGATCTAAACAACTTTGTTTTCAAAGTGGTCCGGCGGGAACTTCAAGTTCTCGACCCATGTCACTTTGGGCATGTTTAAAAAGAAGAGGGGGCTGCCATGGCACCTTCTTCACAAAAAGTGGAAGATGCAGCATCAAAGCTGCATCTCCCACAAATAGGCCTTTTTGTAAAGGGGGGGCATGGGTGGCTGCACTTCCATATTGCAGCTTCCACACACCTCTCACAGGTGGAAATTAGGATTTCTACTCCCAAATAGTTCCACCAATCAAACATGCCTTTAAAATAATAATCAGGTTCAGAACTTGGAGTTTTGAACCCAAGGGATATCTTGGGTTAGAATAAAATAATAATAATGAATTAGAAAAATGGGAGATATTTTCAAATACCGTACAATTAAGGATATTTATGTTAATTTCCTAAAAATTGGCATATTTCCATAGACAAAAACCAATTATGCTACGAACAGCCACTTTATACTAAACTATAGCCAATATATTCTAAAAGAGAGCATGGTACATTAATTCTGTTGGGCAAAAGAGATATTTAATCCACCATACAAATTACAACTACAATTAGTAAAGTGTGTGACATTGCTTTCTCTCGATCATCGTCCAACCAATTGATCAAACAACGATAGACCCATGGATACAACACCATCATCGTCATCAAAACCTTTTCCTAACTAATTTGATACAACACCATATGGACCATATTATATTTTTCCTCTGCAGATTCTGAGAGAGGGAGAGAGAGAGAGAGCAGCTCTAAAATTCCAACGAAGCAACCAATCCTATGTCCACTCGGAAAACATATTATGCACGGTGTGTGTACAGGGTAGGGTATACACATCAGCTCTCCTACATCCATTGCTGGGTACACATCGCGGCCATTCTCATGAAAACGGTAGAGATTAGCTATTGTGCTGCTTCTAAGTCTGTGAGCAAAAAATCACTTCATCTCCACCGTCCATTGATGAAAACGGACCTCAAATGATTGGTATGTATAATCTACAAAAGCAACATGCCCACATGTATAGTACCTCATCCCTTTTTTCACTTCAAATTATCAATATCACCATTGCCTGTGCCTAACCGATATGTTAGACATCTCCTAAACTATCAGACACATTCTAAGTTATTAACATGATTGCCTAAAGAAAAAATACAGTAGAAGAGAGAGACCCATCACCGATGCAAGGCAGCTCTACCACGTGATGCTGCAAGACTAGCCAACTGAGAGATTGCATCGAAATCCTGCCGCCTCATTGCTTCCTTCTCAAATATAGCATCTGATAGAACAACAGCCGATGCTCCAGCATGAATATATGACTCCATGGTATCTGCATGAGGAAACAAAATCACTGAGAAACCCGTTCATGGATATACATGCAAGAATGCATTTATGTGTATGCAATGCATGCATGAACCCAAATATGTGCATGGGTGGATCTCGATAAAATCCGGTGTCAAAACAATTATTGATGTCTCCCTCCCACCTTATGGCTGGGGGACCTGCATAATTGCAAACAGTGGAGTTGTTTCCCACTGGGGATCATACTCTTTAATGTCCATGCTTATTTTTGGGGAGGTAGGAGGAGAGAAATAACAGGATCTTTAACAAGGAAAAGGAAAGGTCGAAGTCATGAATATCCGCAAACTAATAAATGGACAAGGACAATGAGCTAAGATGTAATCTCCGAGGAGTGGACATATCGTATCTGCGAGCATCTCTGTCAGTACATTAACTTTGACCCTCTCAGTTTGTCAAGGTAATCAACAATAGATGTAATGCTTCTCAAAATCTAAATAACAACTTGATGGTTAATAGGAGTGATATGATGAGAACATATTGGCCAAGCAATCTCTAGTCTACATCAGTGACTCACTAGTTTGATATGTCGGAATTTGGGAAACCATAATGTCTTTTGTTGCTGTATTTCAGATTGGTAAATTCTTTTCATTTCATTGTATGGAGTGTAACTTTACAGAAAGAGAAAGGAGAAACCACAAATATATTATTTGGGTATAGTCACATTTAAGAATCTCAATATACAAGAGATGGCATCGGTTTGGTTTAGCTTGATGGTTTGTTATGCTAACTTGGTTTGGCATAAAGAGCATTGAAGCTGAAAAGCATAACCCATGGCACGCAAGCCAAAAAATGTCGAGATAAACCAAGGAATAAGCCTCTTGAGGAAAGCAAAAATAAAAATAAAAAAGAAAAGCAGGAAAGATTGCAAAATTGAGGAAAACATATTTATCAATACATTATTCAAAAGAAGAATTTAAGTTGGAAGTTACTAACACCAATACGAAGTTACAAAATCAAAATCATATAACTGCATTTGAACTTTAAAGCAGTGGTTTAAAGAATGGATCGGTGCCCCTGATCAAGCACCCCAAAAACCCATCCAGATCGGTGAATCGGCGATCCGGATCGGGAGTCGGCCGAATCGGTCGGATTAAGCCTTCAAAAAAATCCCAAAAAATTATTAAAATTCATTATAAATGTTGTTTCTTAATAATCCAATAAGAAATGGGGGTACTGTATTATTAACTTTCATTTTTTTCATCAATATACGAATATTGATATTTTCGTTCCCTGTATGAAGATTCTCATCAAATATTTATTAAAATCTAACTAAAGATAATATTATACATTAAAATTAGAATTATGGGTATGTATGTTATTATTTAATCATTATTTTACTATACAAATAAAAATAAATTTGAAATTTGTCTTATAATATCATCTAATTTAAAAATCTACAAATTTAACAATAAATTGGGAAAATCGGTCAAATAAGCAAATTTTGTCTCAAAATATTTTAAAAAAATCATGATGAATATTTAAAATAGTGTTCTTTTAGTTTCTAAAAGAAATTAGTTGCCTCAGTCCAACTAAGCCTTTATACCCAAAAAGGAAAAAGCTTCTATCAGGTTGCAACCTTAAAATGTAGAACTACGGATGCACCGATGCACCTCAAAAATCTATCGGAAAAGGTTGTTTTAGTATTGAAAAAGCCTCTAATTGATCGTCTCAATGTCGAGATGTGTGACTATGAAAAAATAAAGGATTTTGAGTCCCAAAAGTGATGCATCTTACAACACATTATATAGGCCGTCCATTTTCAAGATTTTCATATGTTTATAGATCTACTTGATTTTAATCATTTTTGGCGATTAAAATTTTATAATTAGATATGAAAATAGATTTTGAGATAATCTTAATAATATTTTTACATCAAAGTTATATGCTACAGTGAAATTTGGAGGTGCGCCTTAAATGGATTGTTTAAGGTTGCAACTTGCAACCTTATAAATGAGGTCCAAATAAGTCTTCCATCGCACTTGAAAACCAAGCACGAATAGTCTGACATCCAACGATTAAAGGCTGAAATAGCCATAGAATAGTCTATCTCTTAGCCTTTTATGTAAGGCTGCATGCTCATAATGGTGGTTGGTAGGTATTTATGGTAGCTGCAGGTACATGTAAGAAGTTTTAAATAAAATAATGTAAACGGTGGCTGCAGCAGGTACGTGTGGTGTAAGAAATTTATATTAAAAAATAAATTTGACATTAAAATAATGTAAAAAACCCAGTTCTTCAGGATCCCGATATATCATTGGATCCGAAACGCTTTGGACAATATCCGATCTAGATCGAGCAATTTCGATCCGGATCGGCGATTTTTCAAACACTGCTTTAAAGCCATAAAACAAAACAAAAAAACAAAATCCTCAGTGGGTGATAATAGGATCTTCTTTTTAGCAATGTAATAGAATAAAACAATACAAAATTTGATGCTCTAGTACTTCAAAAGAAGCTTATGAGTTGCATCATTCAAATTCAGCATCACCAAGTAGTACTTCAAAAGAAGCTTATGAGTTGCATCATTCAAATTCAGCATCACCAAGTAACCCCCAAGAAGTTCAGCATTACAGATGTATACCAACAAAAAAAAGGTCAATTCAAACATTACAAGTCAATGCCTTAAACTTGAGCATCAGCAATGCTCTAGCCTGCTAATCAATGGATTGCACACCTCATTGGTAGAGTTCAAATACAAGTGGTGTATAATATTCAACTTTGGAGACATTTACGCCACCCATGTCTATATATTTCCATCCATGCAAAAAAGAAAAACTGTTATTAGTTCCTACCAATACATAAAAATATTATGGTAGTTTGGTTTACATGGAATTTTACAAATTTCGAAAAAAATTACGAGTTTTTTGGTTTCCGGCATAACAGGATTCATGTAGCTAACCCAAATAGTTGGGATAAGGCTCGGATGATGATGAAAATTTTATAAGTATTTACCCAGAATCAGTACTTATGGGAACATGATAGTAGCCAAAGACAGAAGGGTCACGAAGATGTCAAGGTGGCATCCCAGTGACCCTCACTCCCCTTAGCCACTAGTATTACATTTCATTCAGTTGTACAGCATTTTATTTATAGTGTATTTTGACATAAAAATACATTAAATTGTAACTTTAACAAGCCAAGTGATCCAAGACTTGGATAACCTTATCACGGATAGATTCTCCTGATAGAATAAGCATGATAGATGACTACTCGTTGGACATAAGCCCTGGAGTGACAACAGTGTCTTTCTATTTTTCTTCGGGGCCATCATTTATGATACAAAAGCTACTGTTTTCTTGTTATCAGCAACTCCTATAGATCAGTATCTCAGAATTGGCTAGAACTCCTTAAAAGGTACGTTTTGGGTGTTCTACCAATGCTTTGGTTTCCAACAAAGAAAAAACATTTTCTAAAAGTTCAATAATGAAATTTCAAGGGCGAAGGCTACTTTCGTGGGATTGATTCTCCTAATAGTACTTGCATTATGGATTACTACCATAGTCGTAAATTCCTCCAAGTATTTCATATATTCAATATTTTCCCATGCAAAGAAGAAACAAATAAAAGCGCAATAGTTTAAATTTTTTTTTGCAGCAGTATTTAATGGGGAAAAACAGCACTGCAAAAGTATTAATATATTCCACAATGGAAATAAAATAATTATCAATAGCACTACTTAAAAGGAAAGCGTAGCCCATAAAAGGACATTATATGATTGATGTTTATAGAATACCATAATTTAGGAAGGAAAGATGGGAACAAAATATCTTCCTTCTTCAATAGAAAAAACAAGTTTTAAAGATACTTGTCACAAAAAAAAAGGATATGAAAGATTATGTGAAATATCAATACCAAATGAAAGGTTATCATCCACTCAATCACAGTATCTACCTATTGTGATGCCCTGAGAAGCAACCATCGGAATATTTGAAAACGGCTTCTTTATTGCAGATATATAATGAGGTCCGCCCAAAGAGGTGACAGGATAAACCTACAAACAGATCACAAAAGTCAATAAATAACCACGAAACATGCCAGAACTTGCAGAACCAATTTTACAAGTTTTGAAAAACATAAGACCAGGCGGACCTTCACAATCTCTGCATTTGCATTATATGCACTTAGTACCTGAAGAATCACAAAAGGGATGATAAGCCCACTACTGAAGTAGGGAGTCAAATTGAAAAATAATGCCAGAAATTTGAAAACTAGAAGAATCAGTGAAGCTAATAACAGTTACAAAATTATCCAAAAAAAAAAACAGTTACAAAAGACAGCAAAGCATAGTGCGCACATTCAAAGTGTGGAGAATTGGTAAAGTTTCCAGAATATCTAAGCAAATTAAAATTTTGTGAGATAATTCTATATTTTTACTTGGTCAATAAGATGCAACTACAGGGATAAGATTACGATCACTTAAGAGATTCCCAAACACAACAATTCTTACTTCTGTAGGGGTCATCACTCCAGGAATATAGAGAACTGAACTTCCTCTCAAATCAATCAAAATCTCCTGAACAAAACCACAAAGAATAAACTTGTATATGTGATTCGTACTCAAATCACAGATAAGGGGAAATCTTCTAAAAATTTGAAAAACCACTCCAACATGAAGGTAAAGCATCATGTAAGTAGATCCTAGAGAGCCAAATACAAGCATTGCTATTTTTTAGAATAAGTAATGACAATTGCAACGTATGTATTACGTAAAAGGCTAACAAAACTAGCAGGAAGTCTTTTATAGAAAGCTTCGGGTCTAAACTAGTTAACAGTCTTTTAAAACTACATGATGGTCATCACATAGGAAATAAAATATCCCGCATGAGGAGTTGAGGACATACAAGTTCAATTTCAATTTTAAGTCCTACATGTGTATGCATATGCATACTATCGCTTTTAAATCAGTTTAGATTATAATATCACAAAGAGACAGATGCAAGAAGATAGTTGAAGCGAGATTCTCAAGAAGCATGTGTTGAGAAAGACACATGTGTATCCAAGAGAGATGCAGCTTTTTCAGTGAATAAAGGGGCAGACCAAAATATAAAATTAGACTACCCATAAACTTGATGAACTACAATCGCCACCGAGAACCATCTTGAACTAATTGGGAAGATCAAGAAAATTCATCTAAGAGAATAAATCTAAAATGCAAAAGCATGCCCACTTAGAAAGAGGCTCTCCAATGTAACTATAAAGCAGGACTTAATGACTTTATCTGCAGCATCAAAATACATTAGATGAATTTTTCTCTTCAAAGTAAAACACATACATGGAAATAGTATAAACTAAGAAAAACTTGGGAGTGAGACTTAAGAATTGTGTGACTCCACACGAAGAAGTCAACTTTTAAAGGCTGGACTTGTTCTTACCTATTTATCATTTGTTTTAGTTGTAGTGATAAATTTTATCTTTCTCTCGATCCAAAAGCTTACAAAAGACAAGGTCTTTCTCCGGATAAAAATCCAAGGTCGGTTTTGTGCCCTAAATCTCTTATTTTTCTTGGCCTTATACATTTTGGGGCATCAACTAACAAAATAATTAGAGAATGAGAGTGGGGTTTCTTTTTTCTTCCAAACCCAACTCCATCCTATGTGCTTTCCTTACAAGAATCGTGTCTTTTGATTGAAGTACATATAGCACTCTTTTTTTATGTTGCATAAGTACAGATACCGTTCTTTTTATATTTCAAAGACACATAAGTTTTAAGTGACAATCGGTCTACATCAAGGGTTAGTGTTGAGTCCATACCCCTTTGTCTTAGTCCATACCGCGGTGTATGTTGTTTGTGGACGACAAAGTTTTGATCGATGAGACCCAAAGCGGAGTCAACACAAAGAACTTTGGAGGCATACGATAGAATCTAAAGGTTTTAAAATTAACCGAACTAAGATTGAGTGTATGGAATGTAAGTTAGTAATTATAGGAGTAGCGGTAATGAAGTAATTAAGATTGACGGCCAAGAAATACCAAAATGAGCACACTTTCGATATCTTGAGTTGATAATCCAAAAAAATGGATAGATTAAGGAAGATGTCGCACATAGAATAAGAGCTGGGTGGGCGAAGTAGATATATGTAACCAGAGTTTTATGTAAGCTGAAAGGGAAGATCTATAAAACAGTTGTGAGACCTTGCTTTATGGGGCAAGAAACAACATACACATAGGATAAGTGTAGTTCAAATGAGGATTTCGAGATGATGAGTGGCAAGACAAGGAGGGATGGAATTCAAAATGAACATTCAGGACAACTTAGGTGCAACTCCAATAGAAGATAAGATGAGAGAATGTAGACTTAGGTGGGCTGGGTATGAGCAGCGTAGACTCAGTACAACACTTGTTAGGAGGTGTGGGTTGGTCCAAGTAAAAGGCTCAAAAAGGACAAGGGATAGTCCCAAAAAGACATTGTTGGTAGTAGTGAGAAAAGATGTGAGGACTTATGGCTTCATTGAGGGTATGGCCCTTGATAGAGCAGAATGACAAACAATTTCGTGTAGCCAACCCCAAATAGTTGTGAAAATGCTCTAATGATGATAATGATGAAAGACATCTTATCAAAGTCATAACCAAACAAGGTGCAGCCTACTTGACAACATTTCTCAGTTTTTCTTTAAAAAAAAGAAGTGCAACCCACTTTATAAACTAAGATTACCAATTTCTCAAATTTTTTAGTAAATCTATTATAGTTGCTCTCAAAAATAAATGTCCTTGAGAACATAGTTCTAATAACTTTATTTTACGTCTCCTATAATACTTATAAAAGACCGCTAAAGATATTTTAGTAAAACAAGCTTCTGGTTTCCAGAGACTATCTAAACAAATTTAGAAATATTTTTCCCTGTAAGTTTTTAAACCTCCAATCTAAGAAACTTCTTTCCTAACTTCCAAATTATTCACTTTTGTAATTTATGACACTCCGTAATATGCTCTCTCAATGTTTCAACCTTTTCATTTGCATTCCCATAAACTTACTTTAATTGCCACAGTACAATCAAAGTGAAATATTTTGATATAAAACAGACAATTGTACTAATTTATTATTACTGTATAGCATAGAAATATGGAACCTAAGAACTTATGAACTGTATTTAACGATCAAGTAAAGAAACATAACATGGCATGAATAACACAGACCAGTTAATCATAATACACCAAATCTAAATAAGTGGTGAACACAGTAATATAGGATAACTCAATTTCTGAAATTTTGTGAAGTGCAGATGCAATAGGCTAATAAAGAGATAGCTTGCTCTAGCTCTATTCTGAAATGCTTGATACACACACCTTGATTGTAGCAGGACTCATGAGGAACTTTGCTCCAGCATTTATGGCACATGTTGCATCCTTAGCATTTAAGATAGTCCCAGCCTTTAAAAAAACAGAAGTTTTAGATCAGTCAGCACAGTATCTAGCCTTAAGGTGGCACCTGGGGAATCAATTAAAGAGCGTACTGTATGCCTGCAAGCTAAGGAAAATAAATGAAACATTACTAGCTAAAGAGGGTCGCTCACTATGTTCAAAAAGGCGGAGGAGGTTTCCTAGGCAGGTGCAAGGTATCGCCCGGGTGGGGGGGGGGGGTTCTGTAGAGAGTGTGTGTGGTGTCTGTCTGTAGAGAGTGTGTGTGTCTCTGTCTGTAGAGTGCATGTGTGAGGCCTCACATGAAATTTTCAAAGATCATCTTCTCTTTTTCTTATCTTATATCTAGAGTAAGAAAGATAGAGTATGTGCATTCGTGTTTGTGAGAGACAGGTCTTGAGCACTTTGGAAGACGTTCTTCTTTTAATTCTTCTAGGATGTCGAGAGATAGAGAGAGAGAGAGAGAGAAAGAGAGAGGGGGGAACTCGCATCAAACACTTGGAGGTCATATTCTTCTTTTTCTTCATCTTACATGTACAGCGAGAGCATATGGGTCTATGTGCGTGTGTATGCGAGAGAGAGAGAGAGAGAGAGAGAGAGAGAGAGAGAGAGAGAGAGAGAGAGACGACGTCGTACGTACGTACGTACGTACGGACGACTACTTCTTCTTTCTTTACTTTACGTTTAACGTACGAGAGACGACGACGACGTC